TTTTCTAGCCATTATGAAGTACTTAGAACGCTGTGACCCCTTGATCAGCTTGAACAACGATATTGTGGCACGAATTCAATCTCATCTGCCGCAATACATGTAAAACAGGATAAAATGAAACAAAATACAGGGCTAGTTCCATGGCTTATATGGAATCGAACTGTTACACGACTGTAAAATCAAGGTAGTCAGAGAGTAACTCCAGAAGTAACACGGTTGAAGCTTGCTGTTCTGATTGAGTTTTCTTGGATGAACTTTGAGCACTAGATTACACTGACTGACTCAGTTGGTCTGGTTTGGTGGTTCGCAGCATTCAGCCTGTTTGATCACATCTAGCCACTCCGATTCTACCGCAGGGTGTTAAATGCCCGGCTATTCTCCGGAATGGGCAAAGAGCTGGAGTACTCGGAACAAGCGTAAAAAAAGATAGGCTCACATGAAGGAATCTTGCACTGACCACCTTCTTGTCTTCGTCTATTGCTTGTAACTGTAACTACCCTTCAGACACGGGGGACAGTTGGTAAAGCTACTCAGTGCACAACTGTTTTGTTCCGCATAACCCACGTTTTCAGGTAAAGTCTGAGGAAACATCAACCATCAATTGATCTGGGACTTGGGTAACAATTGAATCACAACAAGCCCCCTCATCGACACTAGAGCAAATAAAAATGATTGTGAATAGGAAGGATGAGGTTTTTAACGCAAAAGTTCCTGGGAAACTCAAAGAAGGCTTCTGAAGGCTGTCTTGGGGAAGGACTCATCTGGAACCCCGACAGCTACCGCAAAACCTTCTGAAGTGAGCGGAACGGACAAACTATCTCATACATAGACTACACGCATCAGAATAGTCGTTATAAAGGGGCTGTTTAAAATTATCTACCCATGTTCGACAGAAATCCGCGGTCATGCTTGACAACGTGTCTCACGCTAGCAAGATTAGTGTGAAAAACCACGTGTGTCAGAAAATATCGGGGGTTGGAGCCAAATGCCCTTTCCGTTCTTTTGTTTTCCAGACTTCGATATCCCTATATTTACACGATAAACACCGAAAACTTTTTTTCATATTTTGGTCGTCGCAAAAGTAATATAGCGGATAATAATGATGACTACTCACCTGTGAAAGACCAAGAAGGACCGATGCAGTTTCGGAAATGTATAGGATTTTTCCCTCAGGTGAGATGATGAAAATGAAGCCATCCATCGACTAGGAGGGGGTCAAGCGGGAACGGAGGGGGGAAACAAGGCCGGTTAGAACAGAAAAGGTAAAAGTCACAGTGGTGTTGTGATCTGTCGCACAAATATCTCTGTTCCGCATGTCAGGCTACCTCACAAGATGCGATCGCGTGGGATACAACTGACCGTCAAGGGGAGGGGTGGTGGTGGATGAAGAATGGCGTCAAATGAACGAAATGTTTATCCTCACGGTGGTCCGTTCCTCTCGCAGTCAATAATTAATCATCGTTTGACACAGGCTAGCTGCGAAGAAAGGATGGGCGCTAACCAGGCGACCTTTTCGTCAGAATCGAGCTGGATCACGTACAGTCACACTTAACTAAACGTCTTTTACGACCACTTGTCAGCGTGAGAAGAACGAAATTCGTGATCCTTGTTAATGTTATCTTGCAAAACCCTGTGAAATCAGTAGAACATTCCTTCTCTTGACAGTTTTACCACCGACTGACGTGTTAAGTTAAGCAGGCCTTCCCGAGAGACATCTTCAAAGACAAAACGGCAACATTGGAACTCATAGCAAACCGGCTAAGTTCGAGTCTTTGTATTCCATTTGAGGAGCTCTAATCGCAGCGACATCCGCTGGAAAGTATGACAGTTGTGTCCTATCTAACCTGCGGGAATTTGTAGATCTCAGCATAGCTTTGATGTCTATTAACTTGCTGTTGTTAAACACAATCTCAACTACTCACAAGTTCGTTGGAAACCCTTGGACAGCACACGACCAGTTTCACCTTTCTTAGAGTTCATCAGGTTGATGTGATCCCCAAGTATTCATCGACATCGTGTTCTCCCTAAAACTCAAACTATATGCAGTTTGCAAAATGCGCTCATGAGCACACCAATTTAGTTTTTGCGTTCTTTCCTATTGTGTTCTGCGACTAAAAACGAACGGAGCGACTAGGTCGGATGTACTTTGCTCGATGTTACTTCATAGAAGTATTTTCGAAATAACTCCGTCGCGAATAACACATTAGGATCCAACCAGTTTTTTTAACACCGAGTTTACAGTGTTCAGTGTGATTGGTCAGAGATCCAAATGGGTTTGGAAGTCAATAACTTTTAGTTTTCTAGGCGGACGATCTGTCACAGGTGATCTTCCCCGTACCAGAAGTAAAAAGCATCAATATAAAACAGGCTGGGAAAAAATGATATGATAACACCTGATTTGTAACTGAGTTGTAAGCGAAATAAAATAGCTCACCTTGAAGAGATTCGGAGCTAGTTCTTTTTCCATAGGGTGCACAGGTACACGTGTATTTTGATTTCGACTGTTCTTCCAAGCGTCTCCCAGTCCTAAAGTGGAGAGATCACGTTTTGCAGGTCTCATTTTTAACGAAATATAAGAAAAAAATCAACGTATATTCAAAGTCTGCATGAGGTGAGGATGTGCTTATAGTTTTTTTTTAAATGCTGTCCCAATCTGAAGTCTGACGTAAATTATTTTTACTATTGTAAGACTCCCACTGACGAAAAGACGGCTTCTGAAGTGGTACCTCATTTCTAGGTGCCTACAAGCCAAATAGTTGCATGACGGAATAACATTGCTGAGAACTCTGCAACAGTTTTCCATGTACCATGAACGAATTCATCGCCAATTTGCGCAAAATTTCTGCCTGGCTATCGTTTTAAAACGCTGTTTTCTTGATCCTACAAATAAAACCAACTAACCCCCCGGTTTCTCTCTCTCTCTCTCTCTCGTATATATCTACACCGTCACGTGAGAGAATCCCACGAATCAATAAAGCCAATAATCCCCCTGTTTCTCTTTCTCTCTCTCTCTCTCTCGTATATATCTACACCGTCACGTGAGAGAATCCCACGAATCAGATAGAACTAGTTTGATTTCCCGGGAAGTCATCTGAGCTGCATTTTGATTTGTGTCGCATGTTTTGATCAAGTGCCGTCTTAGACTCAGTCAATACCGCATCACACGCTAGACGGATGACAGGTCGACAGGTTTATTTAGCCATACCGTTCTTTGTAAGCTTCTCTCTCTCTCACTATCACACGAGTACCTGACGGATGACAATTCTATGACATTTTACATTCCTGTCAGACAGTACTGAGAAGTCATGATAGGAGTTTTTATATGCGACGAGTGAAAAGTGAGGCGACATGCACAAGTGAATGGGACGAGCTTAAACGTGGGATTCAAGCACAAGATCACATGAACACAAGTCCGATGGACACGGGTGAGATACCGGGGGGGGGTTCGGATTTCGAATACATTCATAAGAGATGTACCCTGAACAAAAAAAAGACTAGGTTGAGCAATCCAGTGCGTTCCTTGCTATGAGGATGAGCATATTCGTGTCATGGTANATTTAGACATATCTTTGTAAGCTTCTCTCTCTCACTATCACACGAGTACCTGACGGATGACAATTCTATGACATTTTACATTCCTGTCAGACAGTACTGAGAAGTCATGATAGGAGTTTTTATATGCGACGAGTGAAAAGTGAGGCGACATGCACAAGTGAATGGGACGAGCTTAAACGTGGGATTCAAGCACAAGATCACAAGAACACAAGTCCGATGGACACGGGTGAGATACCGGGGGGGTTCGGATTTCGAATACATTCATAAGAGATGTACCCTGAACAAAAAAAAGACTAGGTTGAGCAATCCAGTGCGTTCCTTGCTATGAGGATGAGCATATTCGTGTCATGGTAATGGGCTAAATGAAGTGAACTTTAAAAATGAGCTATGCCACAGAATAGTTACTTCCTGTCGATTTCCGTTTTCAGATGGGCAAGTCCCCTCATATCCGTGTGAAATTTTTGCACAGATGTTTGGACAGGGCACGCTCAAGTACCATCGACTGAATACTGTTCACCGGTCGAATCACCCGTGTTTGTGATTTTGCGGCTGTCTACTCTAATGGCCAGCTCAAACCTCTATCCCAGCCATACGAGCACAAAGTCCTAAGTTTGGTTAGAAAAGGTTTCTCAAAGCTAATTCGTGGAACACTTGTTCCTGGGTTGCAACTGAACAGGAATTAGCCAAATGATCAATCTGATTATGTTGACTGGGCTTTCTACCAAAAGAGTTCTACCGGTCAGTCGCGTTGGATTAGAGCATCAGAAATAGCAAGCGCGAGAGCACAATAAATCCTTGTTTCTTCACTCAGGAAATAAAAAAACTCTGCGTTTTTTCATAAAGGAAACTACGCACAAGGTTGCTGAAAACTCTTCGACAGCCCACGACCGGTTTCGCCATTCTTGGGGCTCATCAGGTAGGCGTAGTCAGTTGTAGAATATCATAAACGAGAGATTCAGTTGAGTCTCTCGTGAAAAACCAAATTGATTTGCAAACGAGTGTGTTTCTCGAAAACAGTCCAATTTGGGTTCAATTAGAACATAAGGTTGCCGGAAACTCGGGGAGTGCACCCACCTGATGAGCCCCAAGAAGGGCGAAATCGGTCGTGGGCTATCGAAGGGTTTTCAGCAACCTTGTGAGTAGTTTCCTTTATGAAATTATACTGCGATATCTCGAACATCGTGCCAACTGAATCATGGGGCGGCCTGTGTGCAGCACATTCAGCTGGAGGACATCATAAACGAGAGATTTAGCAGAGTCTCACGTGAAAACCAAATTGAGTTGCAGATGAGTGTCTCTCTCGAAAACTCTGCGTTTTTTTGGGTTATCAAGTATTGTTCCTAGAGGAGTTCACTGGCCAACGGTTTGAGCATGTAGGCATCTTAACATGTTTTCGCTTCTACGGACGACTATGGAGCTTCTGACAAGCTGCGTGGTGGCCGACTGCTCACAAAAGTGATTTACACAAAGTGACAAGAGATAAGCGAATCTTCCCGTCAAGCTGTTACAACCACTAGGCTCTGAAAAATAGCCATATCACAAGCTTTACTTGGTTCAAGCTAGTCGTGTCTCTGGCTTGCTAGCTTAGCTGTAAAGTGTTAGCTAACACTTGTCTGTCATTCAAAGCCTGGTTTTTCGCTGCTAATCCTGGAAAAGTGTTGCCATGGAGCTGTTGGTTGTCTCTGTGTGTCCAGTACATGGGTCGAATCGAAGCTAGCTTAGGTATCAACCACTAATCGGAATGTCACGGGTTCCAGCTTCCTCGAATATTCATGAAATGCATATTGCCGATGATTTCTACTAAGCGTCAGACAGCTATACAGTACTTTTTCGCCTAGAATGAGGTTACTTCACTTCTTCATATAAAAAACCAAAAAAATTTTTCCACACTACCAGCAAATTAATCAGCATAACAGGTTGCGTTTTACTTCTGATTTTCTGTCATTAGGCTAACTTTTACCCGGTTAAACATCACAGCATACTTAAGAGTGAATTAGCACTGGTTGACCACATTCCAGGTGTTCATTTCAGCAATTGGTCTCATTATACTGTTCCGACTCTCTAAAGTAGAAATGCGAACACGGTGCTTCTCTTTTTTAGAAAAAAAAACGATCTGAGGCACCATGTGCATAAAATATACAATTTTTAAATAAACATAAAAACAATTAGGGGCTTTTACATAACTTTCTCTTTACGGTCCCTGAAATTTGGAAGTGAAATGGACCGTAGATTGGGCTGCAGAGTGTCACTTTTCGGAGAAAGGTCAGTCCGATTGCGCAATACAGGTGAAACAGTTGGGAAGTTTGAGAGCAATACATTTAGCAGAAAGTAGGATAATCAATTGTTAGTGGGGAAACAAAAAAATGAAATGAGGAGAACCAAATCAATATTTTAGAGACCGTCCATTATGGAAGAGGCTGTGGAACTTTCTCCGGGTACGGTGCAAGTTTGGGACTTTGGGTGGGAAGATCGCACCACGCATGCAACATCCTATTGGTAACGACTTTTGCTCCATTGCACTAATACGGCTATGTAGGCAACAAATAAACGGCTGATTACCACGAGTAAGTTCTCCTTCGTAAGATGACCGAGCTTCTGCAGGGAAAGAATATTCAGTATTTATCCCTTGGTTGTTGATCAGGTGGCTGTTGATCTGTTCGCCGAGCTTGGCATTTGGCTTGCAAACGTTTCGTCACCATACGAGGAGCGCATCATCAGTGCGCAGTTGATGATGCGCTCCTCGTATAGTGGCGAAACGTTTGCAAGCCAAATGCCAAGCTCGGCGAACAGATCAACAGTCACCTGATCAACAACCAATAAACTCACCCGAGCTACTAATATTTCAATAAATTACCAAGTATTTATTCCTGTATCCTCTGCATTACATTTCGTCTTCTAAACTTGCCAAAAATAATCGGAATACGTGTGTGAGTTAACCGGGTGTGATATTTGGGCGGTGCAGGTAGCCAGCTAATCTTGTGCTTACACGAATTTCCGTGTGCATGCATGTACAGCATGTTCTTTGACTGATCAGAATCGCTTTCTCTCTTTGCGTGTGCTCAACCAGGTGCGCACGCGAGCACAAACATACACACACACACATACGCGAGCGTGCAAGTGCGCATGAACAGCAACAAGGAACCGAAGTGTGTCAATAGCGGTGGTTGGATAAGTTGGAGGAGAACAGAGGACCAAGATAGGGCGGGCGGGGGTAGACCACGTAAGACAGTAGCGAGTGGCAAAGAAGCTATTGTTGGATAAGAACGTGGAAGTGAGGATGAGTGTTTGGGGGGGCAGGAGTCCTGATGCTAAACTAGCCGTGGAAATCCAAAGATGAGCACGTTCCGCCTCAAAGTTGACTTTGTAGCGTAAACATGTCCCGTTATTACGTCGACTTTCCTATGTGGGTGTGTACAAAACTCGCTGAGTTTTTGGTTAGGATCAGCATGGTCGAATAAGTAACAATCAAACAAGTTGTCCACAATTGTCAGTGTGGGTTGCAGCTATTCCCAAGCAGCTTGGTGTGTCCGAGAGGAAACGAAAAGACAAAAAGATGAGTGATCAGTTTGCTGGAAAATGACTGCAAAGCAGGCAGTAGAGTTAGAGATTAAATTAACTGTTCTAAACGCTATCGACTTCCTCGAGGGCTCAATCGAGAATACCATTTAAACAGTTACGCATGAGTGTTAAACATTCATGAGTGTGACCTGTCTTAACAGCCGACCTGAACTGTGAATAATGGATGAAACACACGAAGTGATGAAGTTGAACTGGTTGTGCCAGATGTAGTTATCGTTTCGAAGATGACCGTTCCTCTGAGCTAGGTTGGCTTTCACGGGAGAGTCAGGTGAATCTCTCGCTTATGATATTCTGCAACTGAATGTGCTGCACACAGGCCGCCTCATGATTCAGTTAACACGATATTCGAGATATCGCAGTATATTTTCATAAAGGAAACTACTCACAAGGTTGCTGAAAACTCTTCGACAGCTCACAACCAGTTTTGCCCTTTTTAGGACTCATCAATTAGGCGCAGTCCCCGAGTTCCCGTCAATCTTATGTTCTACTTGAACCCAAATTGGACTGTTTTCGAGAAATACACTCATTTGCAAGTCGATTTGGTTTTCACGAGAGACTCAACTGAATCTCTTGTTCATGATGTTCTTCAACTGAATGTGCTGCGTACAGGTCGCCTCATGTTTCAGTTTCCTTTATGAGGATGAATTTTGTCAGCGATTCAAACAGCATGCAAATTTAAAACTGATTCCAATGGGGTCTATTAACGATTAAGGCAGACAGTTGTCTGTCTGTTATACTAGATCATCTCCATCAAAACCGTGATTCCATTTAGCGATTCAAACAGCATGCAAGTTTTAAACTGATTCCAATGGAATCTGTCTGTTATACTCGATCATCTCCATCAAAACCGTGATTCCATTGTTAGTTGTTGCATGCGTCTTTAATGTTAGGATTGCCCAGTATTCCTTTCAAGATACGCTGATGAAATTCTCAGGTTGACCCTATGGAAAATATCATGTCTACCTATAGATTATTTGGTGCCAACTTGAGAGACTCTCGGAGTGATATCTGGATAGATTCCCCTTTCCATGTGGACAGTTTCAAATTACTGTAAATTCAACTGAGAAGCTTATCGAATGGCCTTATGATAGTCCGAACGAGTCTAATCGGTATTTTGACAATAAGTTATTGTGATGTGATGGTCAGAACATCTGTGTTCCTGTTCGGCCGGAAATTTTTCTTACTGAAACCCCTTATGAAACAATGAGCTGTCAGTCGGTTCCATAGTTTTTTCAGTTGGCTGTGAACTTCAAGTCTGTATTCACGTGACTGCCGCTTGAACAATGCTCAGTGCGTCTTGGTGAAAGCACCTTGCCTGATTCACATTAAATTGGGGAAACATTGAACTCCAGTTTCCATTCTACGAAAGCTTATCAACAGGAATTCAAAGTGAGAGTCTTACCAAGATACAAAATAATTGCACCGAGACAGGTAGAGAACTGAATAGCCGGGAGGAGAGTGAAAATACTCTACAATCTCGCAACTATCTACATAATTTGACGATTGATCAACAGTTTTCAAGCACCAGATTGGAAAGTCCTGACTGGTTGATCGGTCGATCGATACAACTGGGATGATTACTGAACTGTCTTTCGAGTCTTTGAACCAGCGAGTCACATCCGTTCGGCTCGAATACATTTGCTTATCATGATGTGATAGGTCAGGCGTTCCCAACACCAGGTGCTGCAGATGTGATGAAACGCACACCTCTCAGACCGGAATTCATATTTCGTTGCCGTCGAGAAAACATACTGTTGATGAGCCTTGATAAAAGTAAAACTCGAGTCCAGTGCTTCTTAGCTTTGTTGCTTACTAATCACGGCTTCAGGAAGGGGCGATGGCTGTTCAGTAAGAGAGTGACCACAAGATCTATAAGGCTCACTAGCCGCACAATGCTCATAACTGCAAAACCTTTGCGCTTGGAATAAAACTTTTTTTACTCCGAATTGTTACGTTTTGTTGCGTATGCGCTCGAAACCAAAAATCATCCCAATCTACGTTCATATTTTTGCAGCTCACCGAATTTCATGGTCCATTGAAGCAAACATATCTCTGGGGGAAAAGCCTGGTGGAATACTTTCCTAGCATCGCTGAGACACCGGGATGCCTAGATGGGCTGGTACTCTGAACTCCATTGGCTGTCTGTTTTGGTCCATCAGGGACGCGTCGTAGCTTCGAGAAATTCAATTCCATTGTACTAATACTGAGCACCAAGATCTACAAATCTCGTAGTTACATAAAACTTTAAATTAGTATGTTGCTATGCGGGCGAACGGTAGATGAAATGCCCCTCACATGCTTTCGTTCGGAAATGCGTGTAGCCTGCCATATTTCATTTTCAAACCGAGACAATATCCGTCCTCGGCCCTTAGTTAAGTGAAATTGATGACGACAGGGTAGCCGGGGGATGAATAAACTGTCGACTGTAATGGGCCGGAAATTAAATTCCGCCTCTGACGGACCGACTGAAGCTCCCGCATGTTATGTCAAGCGCTTGTCATTTGGACGATATTCGAATAACTGGTTACCGGAAAAGTTGTTTGACTATCTTACCTCTGAGCGTAGTCTAGGAGCTAAGACGGTTGTTTTTTAGAACACAAACCCTATCCTTGACGATTTCAGCTGAATGTGCGTACAGTTCAAAGTTGGTGAAAGCTTTACGGGTGAACAATTAATGTATGCTTATTAATATCATGCAACTCTAAGGAATTATTAACCTTATTCACAAATGTTGTGGGTTAAAAGCAAGACCGATTACTGCAAGCAAGGTTGAAACAGCCTATACGAGTCATACCATGTTTATTTCCGATTGTGGAGACCACTACCAGACTAATAAGTTATTCAACTAGATTGCAGTTACATAACTGGATCACGACTCTTACTCAGCTGAACAACACTTCTGTCTTGTCCCCTATTCCAAACACGTTTCAGTTTCCAGGGAACATTTCTGAACAGGCGTTTAAAATTAATCCAGAATTCTGTGTATGCATGTCTGTCCTTACTACTTCGGCTTATAGCGTCACTTGGGCTAAAGCGAAATTCAGTAGGGCGGTTTGTCTTTAGATTAAAAGAATATCCATTTCATTTTACTTAAAGTCGTGGAAATGACTGATGTGATGACTGGAAACGGAAGTGTCACATGAGGATGGTCACGTCATCTGCGGCTGAAAGTTTTCGGTGCAGTCTGGCAGTCACTTGCACCCGCTATTGCCCGACAACCCCGTTGTCGCAGGCCCCTTTTGGCAGGGCTTTGTGTCCGGAGTGCAGTTTTGCTCAGC